ACTTTTTGAAAATGCGGCTGACCGTTATATTCAAAGACAATTCTCTCCGCGCAGTGGAAAAGGGGGGGTGACGTGGTCTGTGTGTGTGTGAGTTCGTGTGTGTGTACAGATGGCTCCTGCGATAACGATCTGTTTGCCCTGGCGTGAAATTCCTCTCTCGCGCTCTGCGGGAGAGACAAAGGTGGTCGGGAGCACCTATCTCTTTATACTTTCGAATTTATATTTCTCAAATACCATTTGGTCCCATGTTCGCCAAGACTCGTGTTTGTAACTACGTCCTCCCGACACCCCTCTCGGTTTACCGAGGTTCGCATTGTCATGATGGAATTATTAAAAAGAAAAATAATTTTCATCCTGAGTTTAAGAGGTCCGTTTCTTGATTGTTGGAATCCATATCCCTTGGTTCTGTAAGGTTCTATAATGGAATGTCGTGTAAGGTGAACACGTTATTCTTAATTTTATGTGTGACTGATGTGTAGCCACTTCTTTAACTTAAAAACGTGCTCGCTGGCTGTTGTGTGTGTTTTCTCATTAATCCGTCTGGCTAGCTTCAGATGGCCCCTTGTGATAAGGTGTGATTCCTGCTTCTCCGCGCTGCGAGAGAGACAAAGGTGGTCGGGGTTGCTTGTGATATTGTTTAAACTCTTTCGCAAGTTTGCCCGTTGTCTCATTCCTTCTCGAAAACCCTTGATGTGACTCTGTATTTTGTCTCCAAGTTTTGTTTTAACAGTAAAAGTATTAAAGGTGAAAATCATTTGATAGCGAATTAATTATTGGATAATAATTCACTGATGTATCTGGTGGCCTGGTCTTAATTGGAGTGAGCGCGAGGACCGCTAACTTTGGCTTATTCTTGTTATTGCATTTGAAATTTTAACCGTTGTTTTAATGACAAAAAAAATATATGGTTTAACCCGTGGGCGTCCTCGTTTCTGGCTTTGCGGAGGGCTTCCCTCTGCGTGACCTCCCTTAGGGCACATCAAACTTTTGTTCATCTGGAGATCTTCGCAGATAGCTGCTAACATCCTCGCCTCGAGAGTTTTATAATTTCTTTATTTTTTTAATGGCCTGTTTATGATCGACATCTGGTTTTTCGTGTGCCTGGCTTACGGGTTTTATTGATTTTTTTCGTTTGTTAAACAAAATGATATATATAACGCAAATATTGTTGTTAATATCAATTTTGGAAAAGGCTCATATACAGCAGGGTTCCATCCTCGGCCCCCTCTTGTTCTCTCTTTATGTCAATGACTTGGGCACTGACCTAGATCATTCCAGGGTAAATCTTTTTGCAAATGACACGATACTGATTACTACTGGCCGATCTCCGGATGACGTGATTGCTAAGCTCAAGGGTGATTTCAACAAACTACAACATCAGCTAGTTGCTCTTCAACTAGTTCTGAATACCTCCAAAACCAAGGTGCTATGCTTCTCACCAGGACTAAAGCAAGAAGTTATTTTTCTCCAAATACATTCCTTAAATAATTATCAAATAGAGAAAATAAAGATCTATAAATATCTTTGGGTCATCCTTGATTCAAAACTGAATTTTGAAGATCACATTGATTATATTGGTATGAAGACAAAAATAAAAAAAATGGTTTTCTGTATCGACACAATCACTGCTTCCCCCCTATGTTCCGTTTGGAATTGATAAAAGCTACCATACTGCCTCTACTTGATTACTGTGACAGCGTATATAAATCAGCCCCCAATACTGTACTGGAGAAGCTTGACTCAATTTATCACTCGGCCTTAAGATTTGCATTGAACTGCCCATATACGTAGGACCCACCACTGTGATCTCTACATTGGGTCAAACTTAACATCTCTTAATGTTTGACGGCTTGTGCATCGGATCTTATTTATTCACGATGTACTTACAAAAAAATCCGCAGACTACCTGCTGGATCTCCTCTCTGTTTTGAAGAACAAATGTGACCTAAGGTCTTCGCTCATTTCCCAGCTTCACATTCCTTATTGCCTAACAAATACTGGAGGAAGGGCCTTTGCTATTGATGCCTCCAGGGTCTGGAATGCTATCACCAATAAACTGCAACTTGGATCACTACCTGTGAGATCTTCACTCAAAACTGCTCTAGAGGAGTTGTACACCCCTAGCTGCCACTGTTATTCAGTGGCCTGAAATCAAATGTTTCACTCCGGATGACCGCTGCAAAGTATGATCTTGTGTTTTGATTATAGTGTGCTGATCTTTAAAGGTGCATTGAAAAAATTTGATACTCCTACTGATACTCCTGCTGTTATGGAGTGACTCATGCAGCCAGCTATGGCTGAAACGTTTGGTAGTACATGTTATGTACAGTGAGGGAAAAAAATATTTGATCCCTTGCTGATTTTGTACGTTTGCCCACTGACAAAGAAATGATCAGTCTATAATTTTAATGGTAGGATTATTTAAACAGTAAGAGAAGCATAACAACAACAAAAATCCAGAAAAGCGCATGTCAAAAATGTTATAAATTGATTTGCATTTTAATGAGGGAAATAAGTATTTGACCCCTCTGCAAAACATGACTTAGTACTTGGTGGCAAAACCCTTGTTGGCAATCACAGGGGTCAGACGTTTCTTGTAGTTGGCCACCAGGTTTGCACAGGCTGACGTTTGGAAACTCGAACGTTCAGCTCCCTCCACAGATTTTCTATGGGATTAAGGTCTGGACACTGGCTAGGCCACTCCAGGACCTTAATGTGCTTCTTCTTGAGCCACTCCTTTGTTGCCTTGGCCGTGTGTGTTGGGTCATTGTCATGCTGGAATACCCATCCACGACCCATTTTCAATGCCCTGGCTGAGGGAAGGAGGTTCTCACCCAAGATTTGACAGTACATGGCCCCGTCCATCGTACCTTTGATGCGGTGAAGTTGTCCTGTCCCCTTAGCAGAAAAACACCCCCAAAGCATAATGTTTCCACCTCCATGTTTGACGGTGGGGATGGTGTTCTTGGGCTCATAGGCAGCATTCCTCCTCCAAACACGGCGAGTTGAGTTGATGCCAAAGAGCTCCATTTTGGTCTCATCTGACCACAACACTTTCACCCAGTTGTCCTCTGAATCATTCAGATGTTCATTGGCAAACTTCAGACGGGCATGTATATGTGCTTTCTTGAGCAGGGGGATCTTGCGGGCGCTGCAGGATTCAGTCCTTCACGGCGTAGTGTGTTACCAATTGTTTTCTTGGTGACTATGGTCCCAGCTGCCTTGAGATCATTGACAAGATCCTCCCGAGTGGTTCTGGGCTGATTCCTCACTGTTCTCATGATCATTGCAACTCCACGAGGTGAGATCTTGCATGGAGCCCCAGCCCGAGGGAGATTGACAGTTCCTTTGTGTTTCTTCCATTTGCGAATAATCGCACCAACTGTTGTCACCTTCTCACCAAGCTGCTTGGCAATGGTCTTGTAGCCCATTCCAGCCTTGTGTAGGTCTACAATCTTGACCCTGACATCCTTGGAGAGCTCTTTGGTCTTGGCCATGGTGGAGAGTTTGGAATCTGATTGATTGCTTCTGTGGATAGGTGTCTTTTATACAGGTAACAAGCTGAGATTAGGAACACTACCTTTAAGAGTGTGCTCCGAATCTCAGCTCGTTACCTGTATAAAAGACACCTGGGAGTCAGAAATCTTTCTGATTGAGAGGGGGTCAAATACTTATTTCCCTCATTAAAATGCAAATCAATTTATAACATTTTTGACATGCATTTTTCTGGATTTTGTTGTTATTGTCTCTCACTTCATATAAACCTACCATTAAAATTATAGACTGATCATTTCTTTGTCAGTGGGCAAGCGTTCAAAATCAGCAGGGGATCAAATACTTTTTTCCCTCACTGTATATCGTTTATTGTAAAATTTCAATGACAGTTCCTATGATCACTGTTACATTGCTTTTATCGCTTTATATTGGTGATTTCGAAAACGTTTTGGTTTAGCCATATTTGTTTGTTGTAGTACAGAGTTTGACTGATAACTTTAATCTAAATTGTCTTATGGTTGTTATTGTTTGACTTCCATCCCACTGGGATTTTTGCACACAGCATTGATATACGGTGCTTTTTCTGGAAGACTTTGCTGTTTTTTCGTGGATTTTTCTGTTTGCGCGTAGTCAATTTAATATGTTTCTTGTTCATGTTTTTGTTTGTTGCGGTTGCACCCGATTCAAGAGCCGAATGGCTCACAGGGTTATACCAAATAAATGAAAAAAAAACTGAAACTGATGTAGCGCCGATTCAGACCACTTTGGAGGTCGTCATCAGATAATTTAGTTAGTATTAATTTAGTTAATATTCGTGTAACGATTAGCCCCTGATCATGGGGGATTGACCATACTTCACCACGCTGGTCAGTGTGGGTGGGGGAACGATCACTCGCCATCACTCCGGGCTCGGAGGAGTGTTGAGAATCTTTTCTCTCAATCTTTCTACCTTCTTCGGTAGTTGAAAAAAAAATCACTTCTCGGCACTGAAATGCGTGGCGGAATGTAAAGGGGAACACATGCTCAACACGCAACTGCCCATACCCGGTGTGCACGGGCAGCCTCCTACGCGTTAAAATCGGGTGGCTTCATATCGCAGTGCGCTAACCACTGCGCCCCACCCCGCCCCCTGCTAGATGACTAAGCTTTGTTATTCCGAAGAGCGCAAAACTCCGCTCACACACACTACATTTGTGCGTATCGAACATACGATAAAAGAAACGATTTGGACTATTTTACCTTCCTGCGACCGCACAGGTATCCTCTTACTGCTTCCATAGGTATCCCTTTCGAATCCCCATAGATATCTCCTTCGTACCCCGACAGACATCATCTTTCTCCAAAGGTGTCCCGTGAGTACCCCGTACGGAAACGGCGGATGTGAATGTTTCGATACTGTACGGAGAAGCAGTGACAAGTCATACATAGGCAGAGGGGGAATTGAGGAAGGTCTCGAGTATGGATGCACAGACAACGTCGCAAGTTAAACACTGGTTACCTTTAAATATACTGTACACCTAAACGCACGGTGTAGAAAAGTAATATTTGAACGTTTTCATCTGACAGCGGCAGCCACTTCTCACCGACGAATTCTCCACGTGTTCATATGAAAAAAAAGTACCAGACTTTACCCCACCCACCCACCGCTTCATCATCATCACCACCACCACCATCATAACAAGAACCCGACGGTGCCTCCACCGCCACCACCGTCAACTCCACAGAACCATGTACAGCTGGCTCGCAGACAACGCAACATCTCCCTCTTGGCAACTACAACAGCATCAGCAGCAGCACCAGCAGGATACCGACGACGCGAGCCCATGCCGCACGCGGGACCCGCGACGGCTTCTCGTGCTCACGGTGGCACTCTGCGCACCGCTCAGCGCGCTCATCCTCCTCGGCAACTTGGTGACGGTGGTCGGCATCGCCGCGTCCCTCCGTCGCTCACGCGCTTCGCCGGCTCCCAGCTCCCTGCTCCTGCTGAGCCTGGCCGTGGCCGATGTGATGCTCGGCGGCACCCTGTCCACGTTTCCCCGCATGGGTGTCGGTCGCAGCGAGCGCACGCTGTGCGTGCTGCAGCAGCTGCTGCCCAACTTCGCGGCGCTCTCCCTGCTCGCGAACCTCGTGGCGGTGCACGCCGAGAGGTTCCTGAGCGTGGCGTGGTCGTTCCGCCACGGCGACTCGCGCATCCGCAGGTCAGTCGGTGTGCGGAATGTGTGGGTGCATCCATCTGACCTGCCAGCAGCGAGCCTTCAACACTTCACGTGGCCTCAAAGTGCACCTGGCAGTGGCACACGCGTTACGGTGACGTCGCCGTCACTTCGTGGTGAACGGTAGTTGTTGGTTTTTTGTTTCGCCAACACCAGTGAGAGTTATCTGAACCTGGTAGGAATCCGATGAGCCATAAAGTTCCTTTTCACGGATGCCACTTCGTCGTATGCGGTGTCAGCCTTAATAGGTGATGATCGTTATCACCAGCAGCATTGATTGTAAAATGATGCTTGTTTACCCAGGAAATCCTCACCAAGTCTCATAACACATTTTCGATGATGGTCCTGCCACGTTATCTCAGTGGGGAGCGATGATTGCTGTATATATATTTCATTTGAGCAATTTTTGGGTAATTTAGCATTATTGCCATGACCATTGTGATCTGCATCAGCACTGTCATCATCATTATCAGCAGTAGCTACATCAGCGTGATCATCATCGTTCTTGTGATCATGATCATTATCAGCGATGGACAATTCACTCCTGGATGAAGGCTTATCCAAACCGCCGCCATCTCTCACGATCTTGCGATATAATAGTCCACCTATCACACGAGATGAATTCACGGCTGTTTCCCTGGTGGTCGTACTCTCGGATGTGTTCCGATCATTGCCACTACCTTCATAATTGGACTATCATCCATGTACTATCTTGCCTGCTCGCGGCGTGTCCCGTCCAAGCCCACTTAATTTCCTGAATGGACTGAATGATGCAATTATACGACACATGTTCTCTAATCCATGCGTTCATTTTTAACCGGAAGATTAATTCAACCTTCTTTGGTTCTTTCGGTAAGGTCACGTAGAATGAGAATAAAATAAAATAACACAATAAAATTCTCACGTTTCGGCCGCTTGCGTTGTCGCCGAAACGTCGTGAGAATTTTATTGTGTTATTTTATTATTTTATTCTCATTCTACGTGACCTTACCGAAAGAACCAAAGAAGATGATTCCTTGCAGTCACGAAAGCTTTAAATCGAAAATTAAATCAACCCATTGAGACTCATGAAACATTGCTCCCATTGGAAGCGCGACCTGCGATTCCAAGCATGATTCCCATGCTTTGCACTTTTTAGTTGTTGCTCCCTTATTAATAACCACGTTTCTGAACCGTGTTGAGGTAGTACGCACTGATTTAAGAATTTATTATTTTGCTCCATCGATATGCTACTTTTCATGACCAAGTTTTGCTTTCCAAAAGCACTCCGATCTGTCATCTGTATGAACAATATTCGTCATGATTATTAATTATCATCATGAGCGAAACGGCATTCTAATGTGTAACCTATGGAGTTGTCAGCATAACACATCATTATAGTCATCACGGTCTAGATTTTCATCATCATGACAATCGTGATCACCATATAATGCCCAATAGAAGCTCCCGCATGTGCAGGTGTGTGGCAGTCAGCGTGATGATGATCATGTGGTCAGCATGGTTGTCACCATGATCAGCCTAGTCATTATAGTCGTGACCATCATTATAATAGTAATTATTATTATAATCATCATTCATCAGCACACACATAATGACCTGTGCGTTAGCGAGGCCTGTGTACCGAATGGGCGGTGCCACGCTCGGGTCCGTGTGCGTGATACGATTTACTTATGACAAATTTCTAAAAACAGCACAAAAACGATGCAAAAATTATACCCCATTATTAGGATGAGTTGAAAATTTCGATTGTGATATTACCTCATTTGTAGAACTTCCAACATAATCACCTTGTACATAAACACGGCATGGAGAGGCCCTCAGCCCCACGTCATGTCGAACGTGTGGGTTTAACTATGCTATACGCTGGCCAGTGCAGGTTAGTTGAAGGCGGAGGGCATAGACGTACAAGCATATATGTATCGTACAACACTAAATTTTGCTGCACTGCCCTCCACTGCCCGCAAGCCCTATGATATAATCTATTTGTCCAGTAAACAATACATTTTAACAAAAACATAGGTTTGGCAGATTGACCCGCACAGCACTGGACACCATGGCTGCGCACTGCCCTCTCAAACCCACTGCAAATCTCTGTGCGTGCCTTTGCCAGGCTCTGCCCACTGCTGATCGTCGCGGCTTGGGTGGTGCCACTAACGTACGCTTCTCTCCCGGCCCTGGGCTGGAACAACTGGCCACCCGGGAATGGCAGCGAGCACATATGCTGCTTCAAGCTTCACTTTCCGCCCGCTTACATCTACCTGGAGATATACGGGCTCATTGTGCCTGGCGTGCTGGCTATGGCGGTCCTGTCGGCCCGGGTCCTGTGCATCGCCCGGCACCATGTCCGCAACATCGGCCGCCTGCAGCGCTCGGCCAACGCGGGACGGCTGCCCGAGGGCGCGCGGCGTGCGCGGGCGCGGCAGATACGCAGCCTCTTGTTGTCCTCGACTGCGTTCTGCGCATGCTGGCTGCCCTACCTGGTGTTCGTGCAGACTTCCTTCTTCATGAGCCTGAGCACAAGGTCAGAGGTTCAATTACAAAACGACAATGGGATTTTTTCCCCCTCGAGTTGTTAATGTTGTGGGTTTACTCTCCAAGCACAACGGTGTGCTGAACTAGTAACGAATTGGTATGTTTTGTTTATGTTACAAACCTTACTAATTGGCTGTGTCGGATGGTGGCTGGTTTAATGACACTTTCATATTTACGCGATCTAACCCAAAAAAACTCTATAATGGGATGTGGTGTGGGTGGACATTATGGACACATTAGTCTGGGTGGTCGACACAGATAGACTTACACGAAGATAAATGTGGATAATGGGATAAATCTGCAGCCATTTCTAGATCTCTCCTCTTATCCATAACACAACACACGGATAATAGCATTAATTTTGCACTTCCTTGAGTCCATATCCAGGCGATTCTTGCTATCCGTGAAAAGTACAGATGATGGAATCAATCCGCACGTAACAATAGATGTCAGATTAACAAGTAGGCTTTCGCGATCAGTATTATTCATCATAAATGTTTTTTGGGTTAGATCGAGTTATTTATAAATGTGTCGCAACCCTCCACCACCCCACACGGCCAATTAGTAAAAAATGTGTCACGTTGACGTTGACAAAAGACAAATAGTTCACTACTTTAGCCCACCGCTGTGTTGAAGAGTGGATCCACAACATTTACAATTTGAGTACGACATATCGCTGTAAATTACATCCAGCATCTTCGGGCGATTTGCCTGAATCGTGAAGCCATCCACCTGCTTCCGGTCTTAAATATTGCAGGATGACGTCATAATTGTTGAATCCCGTCAGGATTCGAGATCAGAGGAGGAGCTGGGGATGTATGAAGAAATGTCAGAGTTGACACGAGGAGTAGCAGATAACAGGGCTGAATAAGATTATTTCACCTTTCATAATTTGTTAATGTTTAGGGTTCAGTTTTTGGTTGCATTGTGGTTCACAGTACTCGGCTCACAATATGAGCATTGCAAAGTTAAATATTGGTTAGGGATTGGCCTAGCCAGTTATCGCTGTGGTAAAAAAATGGGTATCATGTCAGCAATGGCTGTCCAGTGGATTGTCAGCCCTCATCATAGGAATATAGAATTCCCACGACTGACTCAGAAGCCTTATTTAACATGAGTGTTGCACCACTCTCGTTTGGTATGTAAAACTAAGGTTGCCCCATCTCCTGAATTTCCCGGGGTCATCCTATGTTTGAGGTCACATCTATGATTTAGGTCAAATTTTCGAAGTCTTCCCAAGACATTAAAAGTCTCGGATTTTGTCAGTTGCATAATACACCACTCATGACAATCCTGTTACACGTAGCTCTCCCCTCTTCGGGCATTGGGAGATACTGTATTCATGTTAAAATGATACCCCAGTTCTTTGTACCTTAGTGTAGACAACCCTACGTAACGCAGTAACTATTATTACTTTGAATATCATGGGAAAATACCTTCTATTCAGAGTATAGAGGAAGGTCAGTAACAGAGACATTAGCTTGCGATTTTTGTTTAAGTCTAACGTTTTAGCTGTTAATAGCAGTGGTGATTAAGTGTTTTCAGGCTATGTTTATACGCAACCGTCAATGCAAGCCTCTTGAGTTTTGTTTGCCTTATACTGTATGTCCTTTATACAGCCAGATGTGACCACGTATTTTTTACTTGGGAAACTAAACACGAGAGCTGCTGTATTTTCCAGCCACCCTAGCAAAGATATATGTTCATCGTATGGCAGTCAAAAACTAATATGTTTAATGCTCACAATTGCAAGTGAAGATCCATATTTAATACAATGGGCTATATATGTATGACCAGGCTATCATCGTCAGCTCGCTAGACTTGAATGCCTAGTTTAATCACAGAGTTGCTGAAACCTGCATAATTTTAGCAAAATGGGTTTAGGACAGTGAGTTGATTAGCAGGTTGCGAGTGTTGGGGTGAGATACTGTTTGTTGATACTCCCACATCTTCCAGGAAGTTCTTCGTGGAAGAGTAGGCCAATCACCCCTTCGAAGGGTTCTCTAGAACCCACCCTTGTGGAAACCATCTGCCACCAGTGGGTTAAGCAAGCAATTGCAGGACTTCACTTGAACTGACTCACGCTACAGGGAATTATAATTTTACGTAAATTTGTTTGTACAATATTTCCCATGCGACACAGTTATTTTTGCACTTATTTCTATCTGTTTCAATCATGTAGTCGGATGTATTTTTTATGCTTTTGTCGTTTTGGTGAACCAGGTCACTTGCAAATGAGAATATCCTGGTCTCTTGAGCTCTTACCTGGTTAAACAAATAAACTGGACTTGACCTTTTAGGTCTGGCAAGCAGGAGGACGCGGAGCGTCACACCGAGGCGCTCATCGTCCTCATGAGCCTGGCGTACACGGCCTCGGCACTGGTGCCACTCATCCTCATCTCAGGCCGCCGGAGGTACACGCGGTCATTGCTTCGTCTGCTCTCGTGCGGCATCTGCCGTTGTGCCCGCCCGGTGGTGCCATCCACTGCCTCGGCACCACCTGATGTTGCCGACGCCACCGCCGCCACGACCACCACCACCTTCTCTTCCTCTGCAATGCCGTGGGTTTCGTGCTGCCCTTTCCGTCGAGGCCAGCTTGAGGACAGCGCGAAGGCCAGATCAACGCCAACCACCAACAGCAGCAGCAGCAGTGGTGCCCAGCAGTGTGGGGAGATGGAGGGTGCAGATTAAACCTGTAGTGCGTGTGATTAGATCAGGGTTAGTGTGGCTGTGTCGAGTATGCGTGTGTGTGTATTTGACTGAGCGGTGGCTTAGTGGGGAGCAGTAGTGTATTGGTGAGCGCACTGCGCTACAAACCCGACGACCTGAATTAAATTCCAGTTCACGGATAACCTCGCTGACGAATATCTGAACCGATCCTGGGCATCCCCTAGATCGTTTAATCCTTAAATTTATACCTGGTGTGGTGTGTATATGTGAACATTGGGGAGACAAAGGCAGCCAGGCGTGGTGCTGGCCACACCATTTGTGCGCTGCGTTGGCATACATAGGTGCTCTTTAACAGCACTTGCCCCAACAGTCTGTTACGGCTAGACGGGGAATCTTTGTCTTTGAGCAGTGACGTCGTGGTGAGAACACTACACTACGAACCCGACAACCTAAATTCAATTTCCGGCTAAGGTTAGCTTTAGTGGAAATTAGTTGAGCGGGTTCCGGGCCTCCCCTAGGTTGACTCAACGATAACCGAGTACCTAGTGCAGTGTGTAAACATCAACATTGGGAAGACAAAAGCGGCCAAGCTTGGTGCAGGCCTCACCCACTCTTCATGTGCCGTGCCGGCCTCCGATCTGCTAAATGGGTCCATGTATGTATTTGTGCATATATACATATTGACATAGGTGCCGTTGATGGTAGCAGTGATGCCGAGATCGTACTGTGTGGAGGAGGCTGGATAAAGATGCTAGTGGAAAGTTAGAGGCAGCTGCCCTCCAGTTATAAATGAGGGTGCAAATGCGACGTTCAAAACAACGAGCAGAGAGCGCTGGTGAGCTAAACAAGTTGGCGCAGTGTGGAGCACAGGTGGTGAATATGCTAGATACCTTATTTCACCCGTAACACTTGGGTCTGTCTCGTGACCTCCTGCCAGAAAGCCTTTGACACGTTACATGGTCTCAAAGAGCACCTCACCTGGCACAAGCGATGTGGTAATGTCACCGCCACTTAGTCGTGGATGGCAGCTGTTGTTATTCGTCGATGTATTTAAGAATGTATGTATTTATTTTGGAGTACATATTATTATTTGTATATTACTCCACCCATGTGTGAATGTATGCATATATCTGTATTTATTCTAAGTCAAAGTCAGGGTGTCTATGTCCTTAATTTCGCATTTTGGCAGCACCCGTCTTCAGTGAAGGGCCATGAGGCAGACATGGAAATTTCCCATTATTTGCAGAAGACAATCACTGTCGACCACAGAATAATGATTTGTTCAATCAGCCACTGACTGGGATTTCAAATGCATCATTTTTGTTACGAACCTGTACAATGCCGCCCAGCCTGGTTATGTAATATGTATGCACAATACTGTATGTTCCTTACAAACATTTACCTCTTTACGATGTTTAATAACCCTCTCGCACTCATCTGTTTGTGTTTTGTATTGGCTTATCCCCTACCTCATCACCATTCATGTGTTGCTTGTCACTTCTATGTATGCCTCATAAACACATATCAAAGGGAGCTGTTCTGTACTCCTTTTCATTAGGACATTGATGTATATATTTTAACCTATCAGAGATAGAAACATATGCTTTGTATATATCAAGATATTATTTTTGCTTTCTGATATGACTCGGTATTTATTGCATACAATGTATCGTATTTGTAATGCGTACTTATCGGTATTATTGATATAAACTGCTGCCCCAAATTAATCTGTTCGTCTGTGCATCTCTCCATGTTACGGTGGGAGCTCAACCACGCCGTTTTACTATTTCACGCATTCGGTTATTCTACTGACCCGTGCTGCTCAAGAGCCTGACCCCACAATGCATGTCCACCCAATACGAATAGCCTAGCTTTAACCGTTTGACAGCACTCGTATAGTGCCTGTCTAAACAAACCTGTAGCACGTGTAAACACAGTCAGCTGCGCCCAGCGCTCTGCTCTCAACCTCAAATTCTCGTTTCAGAATCCGGAGAGAGTGGCGTTAAAGATCATACAGGAAACAAAAAACGAGAAATGAGGACTGGGAGCTGTGACTATGTTAATATATTGCACCATTGCTTCCATGCCTCCACCCAGAGGTAACACGGGTAAAGTAATGTAAAACATCCCTTTATTCAATCCACTGTTGGATGGATGGAGGAAGGCCTTCCCACACACCTTTTTGGTCTTGGAGGTTGTTTGAGCAAACTTCACCATGCTGATCAGCGTGAGTTAGTGAATGGGGTGCTTAAAACCAGTTCAGATATTACTTAACACTGGTGTTAGTCGTGTGGCAGAATATAAAACTTCGCTCACTGGGCTCATAGAGTAATGCGCTAACCATGCATTCTACTGCTCCACCCAGCAGCAAAATGGCACGTTACTCTTAATTAGCCAACGTGTTGCGAGTGGTGGTTTAGATTGTGGGAAATCCATATATGTTGCAGATCATATGTTCAC